CTGAGCATAGTACTTAGTATTTGTTTATTTATATATATTTTACAGATTGATCAGCAGCAGCACTTACAATTTAGCAGTTCAGGTGGGAACTCAGAATAAGTATTACATTGAGTATAATTACACAACCACGTTTAAAGGTATGCATATGAGATTATCCGCTTTGGGTGGGGGCGCAAGGCCTTAAGTACCCATCCAAAGTTCTGGTGGAGGCGCAAGGCCTTAAGTATCCATCAGAGTGTGCACATGGCGGACATAGTGTCCGAGACAACTTAGTTCAGTTACAGACCTTGTGTCTGGAGATCACAGTTTACTTATACATACCTGCAGCCATGATAGTGTTATTATTAATGTTTACTTTAGTATGAGTTTCTGCGGAGCACAGTGGCTTTAGTGCTCACGCTCCCACTTTATAATGTTTTTCAGGTGACAGGGTCGGTCCGAAGACCGAAGGAATTAGCGGAGCAGGTGGTTGTTGGTCCAGTAAATATGTTTTTGCAGACTTATGATATGTATATTATTTACTGTTTTGACTTCCGCTGACATTTTCAGACTTTCCATCTAGCATGCTAGTCTAAGATTTTGATCCGAACCTTCGGGTCGGATTTATGCAGTACGACATGTTAATAAAGGATAATCCGTTTTTCCAAATAAGTTCAGTAACTAAGTCAACGAATTTTTAGAAAAGTAATGTATTATCAGTAGCATCCAAAATCATGTTTTTGCAAACTAATACGTGTTTTCTTGAAAGGAATTTGCGAAAATCGCACTCTGATTTTAATAAGCTAGTGGGGTGTTACAAATGGTATCAGAGCACGTTTTTGTGTATCTGAATACTTTATTAAAGAAATTTTCAGAAAAGACCCGACCACTCTACGCTCACGCCTCGCCGACTACAGGTAAGTGCTGAGTTACAGTTTATATATTTAAACGGATGCTTTAGTATATGCTCAGTAGAGGGTATCAGATATTTAACCCTAGAAACCATTAAGATGCTCGAGTCAACGATCAAGTATTATTGGGTCAAAATCTTTTTCACCCCATTATATATCTATTCTTTC